CAATGTTAATAGTCCAGCAAAGTGAATTTACAAAAGTGGTTACCCATAAAACAATAATGCAAAGCTTTTCTACACCTCCTTACAAATATGAACTCTTAAAGTTCACCGATAATAAAAAATTGACCTGTAATCGGTAAAGTAGCAGGCATCGCACTACAGTGTGCACTATCATTGTTGGCAAAAAAATCGTCACTTTGTACTTGTTTTGACATGTTTTAACTAAAGCTAGCTCCATTGAGGTCTCCTTCATCATATTCAACCAATTACTGATGATTAAACCCTCTTCAGTGAGATTAAGATCTGAAGTACCCTAGAAAAATACATTATTGTCATTACAACGCGCTGCACTCCTCGCAATCGTCAAGCGATCCCATTTCCTGCCGCGCAGGAATCAACGCGGTTCCTAACGGGTCAAGCATAGCCATTGACGAGCGATAGATCGATAAACGTCGCGCGTCCCGCGCACGCGCTCCCTGACTACTGCCTCTGTGCCACGTGACCACTCTGCTTCTCTGTGTCTACATTAGTAATGGGTTTGCCCCGTCCATAATGGGATTGGGACATGTCCCGTGCGTGGCTTATATGGGACCACTTACTTACTTGGATACTTGGACGGTCCGTCTTCACGAATTGTGCGGACCCCAGCACATCTTCCATTCGTCTCGTCTTCTCGCGATTGTCAGCCATAGCGGTGGTTTCGTTCGAGAATGGCCACTGGCGCGAGTTTCGTACCGTGATCTGTAGAATATTGGCAGGTGCGAATACAGCTGATGCGAATGCAGATATGAATACAGCTGATTAATTCCTCTCACGACCACATCCGCTCAACGTGTCTGTGGTCCTTCTCGGGGACGAGTAAATTCTCGTGGCGTCCACTCTACAGTTCGTTTCGTCCATCTTTCGCCTGATCTTCTTAGTATATGACGGCTAATCTGTGTTTCGCTATCGACGAGAATTCTTCTGTATCGCGAAAATGAGACAGATTCCTAAGACCTGAGCTGCGCAAGCCGGCTGGGTGTTGTGTGTGCCAACTGATTTTCAGAAGACATCGTTCAAGCGCTCTGTGAGTTGTTAGCAATAGTCTTGACGTGGTCGAAGTATCAGCCCACGTTTCCGCTGCATAGTTGAGCTTCGGGAGGACATTGAATCGAAAAGGTTTATCGCGTAGTTTGGGGTCCGTTATATGGTCAGTAAGGGATCGGCCCCAGCACCGCCCTGAGCGGTCGGTTAAGTACTCTGTCCTTTCTATTATTTATTGATTCCGGTTTGAACATCTCTTATATTCTCATATTGCAATACTCTCCGAATCAACTAATAGGAATTCTGATTAACGGATCCGCTGCTAAAAGACATTCCTTGGTAACGGAATTGTCAAAACCTGGAAACGTCTTTTAGGCCCTAGAACAACCTCAGTCGGTCGGTCAACTCTAATCATTCATTCCTAATTTGTTCACTGATTCGGTTTCAACATCATCTCCGAATCAAGTGAAAGAAAATCCGACTGCTAGGACCCGATGCCGAACAAGTTTCTTGAAAACGACATCTTCAAGATCTGAAGACCTGAAAATGCCCTTGCAAGGTTAAGTCAGGAATTCAAGAAATATCGATCTGCACATCCAGCAATAAGGTCAGCCTCAGTTACCCGTACACGGTGCTTCCGTCCATGGCGTCAGGCGTCGAGACAACCGGTGAAAATTAGGACCACTATCTTCATCCTTCCCCTCCTCACAGCTCCTTCCTCACTGCCCAAGCATTCTACCACTGAACCACAATCAGTGATTTAGGATTGCTAAATTCAACTAATTCTGCTGCGAGATGATGTCAGCCACCAATCGCATATATCATATATGTCGCCGTAATTGTTATCTGTAAGAACAAGCGACTGTCTAACGCGACAATGCTCGTCGGGTTTGGCATATCTCATTTAACTGCGCAGAGTTTGTGCAGCTGTCAGAATAAGGAATCTCTTAGAGAATCCATTGTAACTGAGTGTGTTTTTCGGCTCCAAATGTTATTGTCATTGAAGAATAACCAACCTTTGCTGCTAAAATATTTTAGTTCGCTTATTGCTAAAGACTGGGCAAGGATTACTTAGGTTGTTGGTAATATCATCAGTCAAGTTTTGCAATACGATTAATGGATCTTTTACCAAAGTAGCTATCTGCAAACTTGGAGATCTAATTAGAATATACTACCTCATTCTTGTTTTTTTCAAAGTATGAACTCTTTTAAGATGGCATTTACGAAATTTGTATTTATGAACTCATTTTTTCAATGTCGAATGCTCTACTATTATGGATTTTTAACTATTTTATATGATGTAGCGATGTTGAGGACATCGGTTAAGCTGAAACATCACTGACAGAAAGGCAGAGCAAAGCCTCGATTTGTGCTACGAGCGCGTACTGAACAAGGAAATGTCGTGGTTCGAGTCCATTGCACATCCATCAAACTTCAGGTATTGCTCGATTCTCATCATTTTTATGGTTATGTAAACTGGATCTGACGCGGATTTGTATGCATCAGATCAATCCCTTGGCGAATAAATGTTGATAGCATTGGTATGGTCATTATTGTTGCTGTCGTTTCGCGTCTGTCTCAAATAGGCTTTGAAATTGATTTACTTTAGATGAATGTGTTTTGTGTAAACCTTACATGTGGTTATATCAGATTTGTCTTGACGTTAATTATTAGAGATGTGAATATTTTCAAAATAATCTGCTCTGGCTAATTAATGAAACTTCAAAAAGAGTTCAAACTTCACGGCAGTACCAATGCAGATCAAAAATATTCCAATTTCGCAGACTCTAAACTGCTTCAGATACTTAAAAAAATCAAAAGGTCACTTCAAATTTCGTAAATGTTGCAAGTGAGGTTGACATAGCGGTCAGCCGTGGTCTCTGGACGTCGGAGCATCGTTGCTTCCATTTGGTTGGCAATCTAACAGATCCTGCATTTGTGACTTATCATAACAATCTCACCAATCTTTTATTCCGTGCTAAAAATCATCACTATCTCCTTTGGGAGCTTCAGGTCATCCGTGTTATCCGATACGCAGGAGACACCAGGGTAACAAGATAAATCTGTCCTTATTTTATATAAGCACCGTCCTTCTAATGCTTCCCCTTGGTATGCGGTAACAAGGCATTCTACATTTTTCGCGTATTTCTTTAACCTACCTTACCATGCTTTCAAGGGTCTTCGAGGTGCTTCTCATAAATGTTGACAAATGATTATCCATCGCTTGTGCGCGGAGTGGTGCTGATAAGTTAATTGTCCTATAGCCAAGCATTTTGTCCACCCCAAGTCCTGTCGCTTTCAGACTAAAAAAATTGCACACAAAAAGTTTTAGGGAATTCATGAGAAAGATGGAAAGATTATAGACGTGAAAAAAATTTTGGCCGTTCTGTGATAAATTTTCATAAGTGACAGTTAATTTTCTGTTTGTTTTGAAATTTTCATATGTCATTTCATGATATATTTGTGAAACTGACTGAATGTTCGGCGTTCTTTTGTTTTTACTTTCACCTACATTCCACATCTGCAACGCGGATCACTGGACTTCTTGCATTCCATTCTTTCCTTGCACTCATGGTCCACGAAGATTCTGAACATTTATTCTGGACTCGGCTGCTCCTTGATCACTTCCGTGTTGCATTTATTTGAGGAACGTGCTGAGTTCAAGAAAGTTTGGCAAAATTTTCGCCCCCGAAGGGGTGGGAGGTTTGCTGAGGTGGCGACGGTGTTGAGGCAATACTGTTATTGTGATCGAAGCATCAAATATTATTGCGTCCACCCTTTAACGCTTGTTATACCGAAATGGTACAACCTAAAACAACCTTACATCGTCTGTTCTTCGCTTGCGTGGAAAACCTGATATTTTCTTAAGCACTCTCGCATTTGGTGAGTTTATGAGAAATTTTTACCGTAGAGGCGGAATGGTCGAAAGTGTTCTAAAATTGTTTACGCACATTATACACTAAATGGAACGGTTGGACAGTGATAGTGATCTCGTCCATCAGATATACGGGCGGATTCGTTGCAAGCTTGGCGAAACTTTCATCCTTCCGGCTACGGAGAAATGGTATCAAACTTGCTCAAAAACAACATTCCGCAATTCAAATGGGAACGGTGTAGCTCGATTACACGGGTAATGGATGTAAAGAAATGAATCGAATGAAAGAAGTGCTGGTATCAACACAATAGACGTGAAGACGGATGGAGTGCAAAATGTCTTCGAAGACTACAAAATATCAATCAATGAGATGAGCATGATAAGGTTATATAGCATTTACATGAAACCACTATCTTTTACGTAACTTGGATAGAACATTCTAGGCAAGGCTGGATAGTACGATACCACTAATTAGGCATGATATTAAGAAACGCATTCCAACACATGTAAAGAGGCTGAGAAGGTGAGAGATTTATACAGATTCTGCTCAACCACTCTATTGACATATACCCAATGATATGGAGTGGTGTGAAAAAAAATTTTTTCGTCAGCTGGGGTTCGAACTCACATTTCACCCTATCCTATCCACGTCCTGAACCGTTTGCACTACCGACCCCCGTTTTGACACCACTCTATTGATATTGATTGACTCTATTTATTGATATTGTACGTATGATAGCACCGCTGACTACCTCTGCCATTACAATCCTTTTCATTTGACTGCATGATGATTGAATATACCTAGTAAGTAGAGTGATGTGCAAACCTTTGTTTGTGTCAAGCTGGACTCGAACACGCATCTCACTCTGTCTTGGAGCGTGTGCTCTACCTCGCTGCTTATTGCCTGGTCTCTTTTTACGCTACAACACATCTGTTAGCGCTAAAAGGCGTCAAACAAGAAAACTGTGTTTGATCATCCAACACCCAATATCTGTCAGCGTGACTGAGTTCAATGTCGATAGCGACAACTTGGGCTAAACCGTTGACGGTTGGTTGCTGACAGATAGATGCGTTATAGCGTAAAAAGAGTGATGACGCAAAACGGGCGTCAGTAGTGCAACGGGTTGAAGCACGCGTTTTCGGATATAAAAAGATGAGGGTTCGAGTCTCGCCTGACGTAGGAAAGTTTTGCACATCACTCTGCATCATTGGGTACATCTAGCCACTGATAGATCTTGGAACTGTTTTGTAAATGATACAATATCTAATCTGGCTTCACTCTCACATTTCTTGCGATAACTATGACATCATAAGGACAAAAGTCGAGTTATATATGGTCGTGAGATCTATCAAAGTTAATGAACTTGGCCGGTAAAGGTGATCCTTCCATCAATGCTGTGTTTCCTATTCGTTATCGAGTGACTCAATATGTATATTCATTTCGTGATTGATCGAAGATGGGGAGAGAGCGCAATAGTTAGCTAAGCATCGTATCGAGAACTAAAAGCGATGACACAAGCCTTGGATCGATTTCCTTTCAACAACTCTTGCAATCAATGGGAGAGCTCCTTAAAAACCCTTTTGTTTGATTACTTCCGAGATTGCAAGGAGATCAACGCTGACTGTAATTTCACGACATTCCTCTAGAAGACGCAATCTTCATGCAGCAGCCCAAGCAAAATGCGCAATGTTCAAAGTCCTTTGTGGACGCGAAGAAACCAACGAAGGCAAGAAGTGCTGGGATTCGAGCAGTAAGTTCTGATCGTAAAGTGACCAAAATAAGCGCGCTGAAAACAGAAACGGGCCTTTTGCGTTTGATTGCTTATAAAAAAAGCCGCTCTCGAACGATAACATTTAGCCGTTATTGTGCTATCACTTAACTGTTCCTTCATTTCACTCGCTCCCTTCAATCATGCTCATTGTTCAAAATGTATAGGCATAAAACTTTCGAGATAATCAACATCGACTGTTAAAACCGTCAAATACTGAAATCATTGTATTTATCTGACGGGCTACGCCAATAGGTAGTAATAATATCATACATGTTACTTAAAGCATTAGAGCAATACGAAGACTTACCTTATGAAATCCATACATTGAGACATCTCAAGACTCACAAGACCATACATGATCAAAGCCCCTTAGATACTCTAGTTCACTTGGTATTGTCGTTTATTCTCGGATCTCTCAGGCAGCAGAGAGGCTAAACGCAGCGAGTGGTAACTGTAAATGAATAACGGTAGCTTTGTTGTAAAAGTGATAGAATTCAGTGGTGAGAGATGAGAAGTGATTTCTGTCCAAACTGTCTACTGTCGACTGAGGTTGCACCCTGTTGAAGTGTACATTGAGCGCCGAATACATTGATCTGTTACTCTTGTGCACTGAACTGATTGACAGTTGCCGAAACGAGACTTATTAGGTTGAGCAAAAAATGCTAGACCGTTCTTGGAAACTTCATTTTTTGACATCCTTGTGTCCTTTTTATTTAGAATTTTGCATATATTAATCTAGTTGATTGAATACAGCTCCAAAATGCCTATTCAACAGTATGATTTGCGCGTGATGGTCCGTCATTATTGGAATAATTTTCAACGATTCTTAAAGTCGTCGATGAAATAGCTGAGGGTGAAGGCCAACAAATCATTTGTAGGCAGATGGTTCTGAGTGTTTCAAAAAAGAAAATCTTTTTATCGAGGCATGCTTCGGTGTGACCAGCCATCTGTTTGGATGAAGGTGACCTGCAGGCCGCTTTGGATGCTAAACATTCATCCGGCACTCGTTTTTTGATTGAAGAAATTGGTGTTTCGGAGCTGACCTTTGTCAACAAATCGCGTTAATTTGAATTTGTGCACAAAAACCTTTTCAAATTCTTCATGATCTTTACTCGATTATGGCCTCTTTTGACCAATACAACGCTTTTCAAATGGCTGTCAATTTGAGTAATTTGATGAAGTTGAAGAAGTATGTCAACGGTTCTCATTTCAAAGAGCCGCAATAGTACTTCGAACAGATCCATAACCTTGCAGATGATGACAAAAAGTTGGGGAGAATAGTGGTCTAAACTCTGAAGAATAGTTATTGTTATTTTTGTTGTTACTTCGGGCATAAAAACAAGCTTTCAATTTTATCTCAGAACTCATCGATTAAGCCTATATCTATGTTACTAAGCACGAAGATAGAGTGATTCCTTTATGAGAATATTAGCAATACCATCAAAACATCAATAAAATAACAACCTGAAATATACAGACATCATTATAACAATAACATATCAATAATAATACAACATCGACTCAATAATATCATATGTAAATGAGGCAGAGTGACAATATAAGTCAATGATCGAACTGTGAGGTTGGTAAGATGTTGCTATGGAGCTGTTCCAACTAACTCTTGAGCTCCTCGAGTAGCTTGTGGACGCTTGGTTTTGTTTTACGTGGATGTGGCACGGTAATGAGTGACGAAGAAGGTTGTACGGAAGACGACCAAACTGAGCGAACTAGATGACGTTGCGTCTTCCACTGTCATCGGTCTCCTTTTGAATCCTCAAGTAGGGTCTAATTATGATATAGCATGGTCAAATGCTGCTTGACATATTATAGTGGGTCGAATGGTGTTGATGTACATGCCACGGGCCGGTTCGATGGCCTTTGATGTGAACGGGTCAAGCGGCGCTCAACATGACGCAGCTGGGTTATTTGGTAATTGATACTATGTCAGATGGTGAACTTTACTTCTAAAAATACTAACTGTTGAATTTTCGACAGCAACTGTGTTAACACGATCGCAACCAAGCTAATTTTGTGTCTTTTGCAAAGTAAAAACGCCTAATTTTCGCGTGGCACCTATGGACTAAAAGTCTCGTCTTCATCTCTCTTCTTGTGGTTCCCCTCCATAAACGCTTTTCTGCGCTTTCCGAAGAAATTTTTGCTCTTGTGCTATCCTATAAATGCTTCAGGATCATCTCCACGTCCTTTCATGTGCTTGGTGCCTATATAAGATTCTGTCTAATAGAAAATGCTTGTCCGCTATACAATCAATCGCATGCTCTCGGTAACTACTGTTTTGTACTAGCTATTCAATGATTATTACGATGTTTAGCTCGTGGCTTTGATATCCTCGCATTCCATAGAAAACCCAAGTGTCGACGTCACGATACAAACTAAGAAACAACGACCACCCTGAATATCTGAATTGTTCTCAATGCTTTATAAACCTCCATACTGCTAGTGTTCTGTCATTTTCTTTTCAACTGTTATAGAATTTTCTTATTTGGAAATAGTGGATATTTCGCGTATCTCCTTTCCCTAATTCCGTATCCGTCCATAACCATCGTGCATTAGACATCATCTGAAAGTACGACCCTGCCGACCTTCTATGCGCAATACAAACATGACTAGGGCTAATTGTTAGGTCCATTTATTGATCATACTATCTGCATAACCTTATTTCTTCATTCTGAATTCTTTTCAACAGCTCAGCTATCCTTTTCATAAGCGTGTGTGTTCCTAGTCTCTGAGTTGTCCAATGGTATCTTTGTATTACAACACTTTCGCTGATTTGATTGTTATCATTTGAAGGAATCAATTAACCAAGATATTTATCTTGTATTCTTTTGTGTCCGCATAAAGGAGCCCCCTAGATTGTAATTGAACTGTCGAAGAGATGCACCTCTAGCTGCACATGATCGCAAAGGCATAATGGTAATGACGTTGATGTCTTAGTGAGAATAAAGGGGAACGCGTTGAAGTCGTTGGCACGGGGAGCCCTTGGAGCACGTTGGTATAGAAACTTCAGCAAGGCTTTGTGGCTAATTTATTCCTTTAGGCCTATGGCTACTGTACTATCAACGTGATCGTATAGGGCTCACTGTGGGCAGGTTCGAGTTGAGTTCTTCTTGGCGCCACAGAGAAGACCTACCAGGACCTATAGTGATCACACGTAGATCGTTGCCTTTGATACCGTTTGATATTATTGTAACATCGGTACCGAGAAATCGGTGGTCACCAAGTTGGCTCTGTGCTGAAAGCGAGTGGAAAGGACCACCAAGTGGGGAACTTTACAACAAATCATGTGGGATTCGCCACCAGGGGTAAAGTGCGCAGTCTCACATTTAATCATTCCCCCCCCCCCCCTCCTCCCCTTGTACATAATTTCCCTGACCTTCAATGACAAGAACCCACTGTTCGCTCCTCCGGTGCCTCCGGTGAACTTCACGAAGACCACATGAAACATTCAAAACATCCACGGTCCATATAAGGTGATTGTGCCCCACATCCGCTACAATACTTGCAAAAAGTTCGAGAACGACGACCCAGCATCGACGCCGGTGCCCTCAGGTCCCTCCGTCACTTTTGCTGTTGTCCTAATTTTGTGAGGTCGCGTACTATTGTTCCTTCCTCCTTGTTACTGACTCAGCGTTTAGTGATCAATTATCTTGTTGCTTCAAGCACTCGCTCACTATCTTGTCATTTGCATATAATTGCCGAATCTCAGTCTGGGCACATGAGAAGACATAGTTTCCTGTTACGTAATCTATGTGGCGTCAGGAACTTACCTGCGTAGCGTTTAAGGGCGAGTAAAAGGCCAGAATCAATATAAATGTGGTGCACGGCCAAATTCCAAAACATTGGTGCGCCATTATATTTGGTAAAATTCAAAAATGAATAAAAATGAAAAGTACTTGAATATCACAGGTTATGGCGCCCTATCGCAGATTTATTTCTATGTTTGAGAAAGCTTCCTTCATTTTAGCGTATAGCAACACATCGGTGATCTTCGTCACATAAGAAATCGAACGGTAGGCAATCTTCAACTAGGCAGTCAAAATGATTTTTTATATTAGATTTCTGCTAGACGAGGGGAACATTAACTGTATAAATAGATACAGTAGGTATACGAAGTTTGGCCTTTGAGGAAGGCGAAGTCGCCAAAACGTCAGCTCTGGCTTTTCAAAATGTACTAGCCTCCCTGAAATTTTTGAAATAGCACACTTCACAACGTGGTTCTAAGATGATCCATTTTCAAGCTCTAACATAAAAAATAGTAAGAGTCAGACGGAAGTGTTCATGTTTATTTACGATGGTAGGAGTGTAGTGGGTAATCTGGCTCATAGCGGGAAAGATTGATGCTCTTAACACTTTGGCTACCCAATGGACGCTATGGTTTTCGTAATTATAT